CGTGCGTGCGCATGTTGTGCACGCGCACGCGCGCGCGTGTGCGTGTGTGTTTTTTTTGGGGGGGTCTTGCGGGGCTGTCGGGGAGGGGCCAGGTGGCCGGAGTTTACAAGATGAGGAGGGATCGATCGTGTTGGCCAGGACGAGCGCGATTATTGTGCGTGATGCAGGGTGTGTGTCTGCCTGACAAAACTTTGCTGACGAATCCCTGAAACCACACACTGGCATCCAACAAACCCTGCAGGCCCAGAAGGTGGAGATGGAAGCTCTCCTCAAGGGACGCGGCGACACCATAGACCAGATCACGGTGAGGCGCGCCGCGGGCTGCTATCACGGAAGCTGCCAGGCACCTGCCAGTGGCTTTGAGGGCATTCCCACCAGCACCATCAGCCAGCGTCCCTTTTGTCATTCTTCTGGCCCGTTGATGCATGACACCTCTTGCCCACCCACATTTCTGTCCACCCCAATCCTGACCCGGGACCCCCCCCCTACCTACACCACCAGTCGGAGCTGGCGATGGCACGCGAGGAGGCGCAAGGGGCGGAGGCGCTGGCACAGGCCTACAAGGCAGACTTCACGGCTGCGATGGTGAGGGGCGAGGGGGCCAGGACACGACAGTCTGAGGTTTGGTAGGGCTTGGGGGACGGGCGGTGTGGGGGCGCACATGGGCTGCAATTTCGCCTCCTTTCCAGTGTTACCTGGGCGGGCAGCTGAAGTCAGGCGACAACACAGGCGATGGAGCGGGGGGCCGCAAATCGTTCATTGACTAGGCGCCCCCAGCCCGATGGATTAGTCATAAATAATGCCCACCTTGTTTGCAAACTGTTGCAATCCTTGCCTGGGGCCGACCCTCAAACACCCTTGCCATTCCCTCCGTTCTCTATTTGCAGGCGGCGCTGGCGCAGGCGGACCTGGGCTGCAGGGCGGCCAACGCGCGCGGCGTGATGGTCAAGGCCGAGCTGGGTGTCGTGAAGGTGAGCGGGGTCCTTCAACACCAGAAGGGGGCGCAGGTCCTTACGACTTGTGCGGCTAAGGAGAATGATTTGACGCCTGCAGGCTGTGCACCAGAAGCAGGTGTCCCGACTGGGTACGTGTCGAGCGGCTTGCACGCCCATTCTTGTGTTTCCCGGCTGCTGCCAGCCAATGGCTCGTCCTCACCTCACACACGCACGCACGCACGCACACAGGAGTTGCTCCAGGAAACAAACGGTCAGCTGGTGGCGAGCAGGGGCGAGGTGCAGGAGGCGCTCGCCGCAGCGCAGCGCCGCGAGGATGAGATGGCGCAGCTGAGCGGGCAAATCGAGAGCTGCCGGGTGAGAGGGGCTGCGGCGCTCGATGGACTGTTCATTCACGAGGGCTGTGGCTGGGCGTGGGATGATAGAAGAGACCTGGGACCCGCTTTGCATTCAAGATTTGGGTAGGGAAAAGCACTGCCTTGCCCTTGTGTTCGGCTGCGTGGGGCCAGACCGTCTAGCTGCCCTGCTGCGTTACTGCAGCGAGCCATACTGCTGCAAAAAGGATATTGGTGCCCATGAGTAGCTGGCCAGATTCCCGTGTACGACAGTATCAACAACCATCTTGCCTTGCCGCTCCCTTTGCTTTTACAATTCTAGGCGCAGCTGGCGGCCCAGGCACAGGCCTGTGACATCATGAGGCTGGAGCGGGACAGCACCGGCGCCCACCTCGCCCAGGCGCAGCAGTATGTTGCTGAGGTGGAGGAGCAGATGGCCGCCGCCATGGCGGCCAAGGTGGCGGCCGAGGAGGCGCTTGGAAGCTGCAAGGTGAGATGTTTGAAGCTGGGACGGGGGCGTCGCAGGGAGGATGGCGAAAGGCGAAGATGAAGGGCTAGAACGTGATTTGCAGGAGGGCGGTGGTGGGCTTGCATCGTGCACCTGTATCGCGTGGGTGTGGTAGGATTGGGTCTGATGCATTAGGGGATGCAGGATGTATGCTTTTCACAGCGTGTGGCAAGCCCCGGCTCGGGATGGGTAATCAAACACGGTCCAGCTTTGCAGGTCCCGCAAAAATAGCCTGCCTGCGCGCTCCATCTCCACCGGCGCCCTGCTGCCTGGCCCCTTCCCCCTGCCCACCCCCTTCATCACCAGCCCGCTGCCCCAATGCAGCACGGGCGCCCATTTGCTCAACGACCTCAGCCGACCTGCCCAACCTCTTTTCAGGTTGCCATGGCGGAGGGTGTGCGTGCGGCTGATGAGGAGATGGCCGCGCTGCAGGACAAGATCAAGCAGATGCAGGTGTGTGTGTGTGTGTGTGTGTGTGTGTGTGTGTGTGTGTGTGTGTGTGTGTGTGTGTGTGTG